TTTTTATATAATAATTATATTATTAATATTAATATTTTATTTTTATTAAAAAATTAATACTTTTTTTTATGTTTGCAAGCAAATTTACCTGCTCTACAGTTTAAGGAATATTAAATATAATTTTTACATTAAATAATTTTATTTCTAATAAAATTATTATTATTATTATTATATATAAATATTATTTTAAATATATAAAAGTAACTTTTAAATTTATTATAATAATTTAATAAATTTAATAATAAAAAATTTTTTTTTATAATTAAGATAAAAGTTAATAAATTTAAATTTTATAATTAAAAAAATTTTTTTTTTTAAAATAAAAAATAAATAAATAATTTAAATAATTTAATATAATAATAAAAATTTTGATATATGATATTTAAGAATTTCATTTTTTAACTTATATTTTATATAATAAAAATTGATTGGTTTTTTAATAACATTCTTTTTATTCTATTTATATGTTAAATATTTTTTACTTTATATTTTTATCTTCTATTAATTTTACTAATTCTATTAATTTTATTAATTTATAATAATAATTATATTTTTTATATTTTGTTATATGTTATATGGTTAATTTCTTAATGCCGTAATGCCGGCCGAGATGAGATTTTGTTGATTCTGAGGTAAAGGCGATGTTGTATTTTTAAAGAACGCAATTTTGGCGATCTAATAAGTGATTTGGTGAATAATAATATAATAATAATAAACATAATAAACTTGTAAAACTTTGTATAAACGTTGATTTGTAAAAAAAATGACAGTTTGTCAAATCTTTTTTGGAAAATAAATATGATGATCTTACATTTGTTGATCCCATACTGCAATATAAAAAATTGAAAATAAAAAATAAATATTTTATACTTGTTACAAAAATTTTCGATGGATCCATATAATAGTAATTTTGTTTTTTTATTTTTTTTTTTAATTATCGGTTTTAAATGAAATTTAATGTAAATATTTTACTAATTTTTTTTTTATCTAGATGATGATCCTGATTACCGTGATACTCCATTACTTTCTCGAGTTATAAAACCCTCTGTTAGAACGGTCACTCCTCCTGAACAACGCAGAAGCTCAGGAGGAAGAGGAGGTTCATTTAATAGGAACCAATATCAACAACAATCTGGTTACCAACAATCCAATTATTATAGTTCTCAAAATCATCAGTATCAACAACATCAACACCAACATAAAAATTATAATTATTCTAATTATAATTCAAATAAATATGGTCAACAAAAACAATTATCGCCACAATCACCACAGGCTCCACAATCTTATACAAAAGAAGAGCGGCTTAGAGAAGATCATCATCGAAATCCAACTCAAGAGCATCAACCTCCTCCACCTTCTATTCCAGTATTGTCTTCATCCTCCTCATCTTCAACTGTTTTACCTTCTTTATCAAGCATTTCTCAATTATCATTTGTACCATCATCTTCTTCTACCACCCTTCCTCCGATTCATCAAATTGCTGATGGTCCTACAAAAGATCAAAGCATTGTTTTACCTAATATAATACAATTACCTAAACAAAATGTTGATTTTATCTCTTGTAATTTTCCTTATGAAGAAAAAAGGCTTATTGAGGGATTAAATATGGTTGTCGGCCAAGTAAGTTAACCTTTAAAGGTTCTTTGAATTTTTTTTTTTTTTTTTTTTAAAAAAAATTAATATTTGTTTTTGTTATCAAAGGTTACTGAACCTGACTATAATCTATTTTGTGATTCTAAAATTGTATACAATCTTCTAGAAAAAAAGGTATATATATATATATTTTTTTTTCAAGTCTATTATAAATATAATAATAATTTTTTTTGTCGAAACTTCAATATCATAAGATACTTAATATATATATTTGTATTTTTTGTAAAAAAATAAAAAATAAAAAAAAAAAAAATGCTAATAGAATAGCTTGGAAGATATATCACATGAAAAATTTACAGAAGCAAGACAGAAATCAAATCCATATGAAAAAGTGGGTAATTCAATTTTTATGAATAGAGCTGCTGTAAAATTAGCATGTTTAGATTCCTTATTCGGTCTTACTGGAATTAAAAGATATGATCCAGTCAAAGATAATGTAAGAAATATATTTGACTTTTTTTTTTAATTTCGTTAATATTTCAAAAATTGATATTTTACCTTTATAAATACAAAAAAAGGTATTTTTGTTTGCGGATTTATGTGGGGGACCAGGAGGATTTACAGGTTTGAAAAAAAGTATTTTTACAACGATTTAATAATATAAATAATTCTAAATTCAATTTTATCTTTAGAATATTTGTTATCACGTAAACAATCTTGGGGAGAAAAAGTTTTTGGATGGGGAATTACTTTAAAAAATTTGCAGGATTTTGATTTTAGTAGGTTTCATCATGAAACTATGCCAGATAGCTATTTTAAACCATGTTATGGAGTTGACGGTACAGGTAATTTTAACCCCAAATATTTATTTATCTTTCTGTATTATGCGATAATGCTAGTAATAATTGTATTTGGTAGGTGATTTATATAAAGAAGAAAATATTAGAGATTTTGCTAAAGTTGTAAAAAAAGGAACTCAAGAAGGTGGTGTAGATTTAGTAACAGCTGATGGGGTAAGATCTGTTAACATATGTATATATGTTTAAAAAATCAACTGTATATGAGAAATTTGATTTCCTAGCAATTATCCCATATTACGATGAAAACTAAATATTCTATATAATTAAATAGGGATTTGATGTAAAAGGACAAGAAAGATATCAAGAAAATCTCTTAAATCAATTGATATTATGTCAAGTGATTACAATGTTTATGACGCTCCGAAAAAGTAATTATGAAATAATTTCTCCCGTGTGAAAATGATCTTTTTTTTTATTCAATTAATTCTTATTAACAAAAAAAAAAAAAAAATTATTAGATGGTGATTTTGTATTAAAAGTATTTGATATATTTACACCATTTACTGGAGGTATTGTATGGATATTGTATCGTCATTTTGAAAAGCTTTGTATAATTAAACCATTATCAAGTAGACCTGCAAATTCAGAAAAGTATTTGTTTTTTTTTGAGCTTAATTCAAGAAATTAATTTAATATATTCTTTACTAATTTTTATTTGAACTTCAGATATATAATTTGTCGAAATCTACGAGAGAGTAATCCAGCAATAATAGATTATTTATTCAGTGTGAACAGGAAATTTAATGAAATGAAATATACAACAATGAATAAATCAACTTTATCACCAACAACTACATCATCATCATCACTTAATCATTTATTAACACAAGATTATCAACAAATTCCAACATTGCCAAAGGAAGATATAAATGAAATTATTGATATTTCAGAAATCAAAAAAGATCAAGGATTTTTGGAATATATTAAACGAAAAAATATTGAAATAGCTAAGAATCAGATTGAAGCTATCCAACAATTAATGAAATTTGTTGATAATCCGTATCCTTTTTTTATGATAAACCCAAAAGTAAAAGAAGTGATATAAAAGATTTTAATCTTGAATGTTTTTCTTAATTTAATTTTATTATAAAATTTATAGAGAAATGAAACCACTTAATCAAGAAGAATATAGAAGACTTTGTTTGCAAGAATGGAGTTTACCAAATGAAGAATGAAATTTCAGGTTTGTATTCCTTAAAACGGCATATTTATTTTTATTATTAAATTGCAGGCGCAAACCGTTTGAGGATTTAGATTTTTAAACTGTATTTTCTTGTACCTATGCCTTGTAAATTATAAATGATTGTTAAAACTATGATAAAGTTAAAATTTTAGTTATTTGAAAAGATTTGAATTAATTTACTTGAAAATTAATACAAAATATGATTAGATTGTTATGTATATTGTAAATATTATTATTAAATTATTTTTATGCACAATTTTTTCTTAATAAATTATGTCAAAAAGTTGCAATGCATAATTTCTAAGATTTCTATAGTTGCTTAAAAAACCCCACCCCATCTCATAACAAATAACTTTATATATTTTTTTTGATGCATACTCAATAATTTTTAAAAAACAAAAACCTTATTTACATTCAAGTTGTTTTTTATTATCCTTTTTTGAAATAATAAAATATAATATTTACTGAAATTAATGAATACGTAAATTAATGAAAATTTGACAAAACATTATCAAATGATTCTTTGATAACTCTGCAATTTGATTTGATAAGACTAATTTTCGAACCACCATAAAAATATTACTGGTTCATTAAAATCCCAAAACCTAGTATACATCACAATACCCTCCCTGTATTGTATCAAGAGAAGAATAATCTGTAAATTATCAAGCTTAAACTAAAAAAAAAAAAACAAAAGCATGGAATTTAATATATATCAAGCTGGTTTGATGTCAAAATTAAACAAATAGTAATTTATGCCATAGTTTTAAAAAATTTTTTATTCAAATCAGTGATGAACTTACCAAAAGCTAGGAAATCAATTTTCCATCTCGTTATTTGTTGTCCGAGGATTGGTAGCTGTTGATTTAGTATATGGATAATATCGATAACGTTTAGCTCGTTTAGCATAGTCTGTTATTCTTGTGCTCTGAGACTTTATTATAAATGGAAAAACAACGTTAAGAACAAATAAAACAATATCAGCGAAAAATAAAAGGAATATAATAACTTACATCGGATTCTGGAGCTGATGAATCATCAGACTCTTCTTCAATCTCATTATTCATGTCACTAATGTTCGTCACATCCGTTACATTTTTTACTGTTATAGGTTTACTGTAAAAACGAAAATTTTCTTCAATCAATAAATTATAATTAACTAGAGAATAACAATAACCTATATTTACTTTACATAGCGCATTTCTTCGCCGTCACCAAAATCAATGACAGATGTTGATCTCTCAGCCTCCGCTTGTAATAATGGTAATATACATCGTGGTTTAATGGACTTTCCGAATGAACTTTTAAAAATTAAGTAAATAAACAGTAAAGACGGAAGGTTCACAAATGAGACAAATGATAGAATTAATTAACATACCGAAGCGTGCCATTGTCAATAAGATCATCTTCGCCATAAGGGTGATCATAATACGTTGGTGGAACCGGATAACGTACACCACGGCTATAGAAAGAAATTAAAATTAAAATAAACATTTACAGTATAAAAATATGAAATAGTTCTTAATACCATTTACTTACAATACTTGTGCGAATTGATATTCATTGACTTTATTTCCCGATCCAATAGCAGGCGGTGAGAGGAACGGGTTATTTGGGGAATCTCTTATAATCGAAGGATTTTGTTCGCGCCTTGAACGCGTTAGCAAGTCACATTGTGAAGAGCGCGATGCTTCACATGATAAATCATCGTCTTTGTCTGAATTTTCTGACATAACGATAAAAGGATTCCTGGGGTAATCACTTTCAATCAATCCGCCGTTAGACTCAATTTCCATAATCGTTTCGATAAAACTTTTACGCCATTCTGAACCGTTTTGTGAAGAATCATCGTCCTCCGAATCAGTGATTTCTAATTCATTAATATGGTCTGATAATGATTCTTGTGTTTGCCATAATAATTTTGCAGGGTTAGGCAATTGTCTAAAAAAATGAAAATAACGAATAACTTAGCTTGAAATAATAATAATAATAATAATAATAACGCGTAATATAAGTTTAATAATAACATACTCTTCATTGGAATGTAGATTCCTAGTAAAATTCTTTCCACAGCTTTAGTTTAGTGAATAAATTTTTAAATCATTCCAGTATACACGTAATATAAATCAAAATACATATATATAATAATTATACTTACTGTACATATACCATAGTATCACTTTATTTTACGCGTTTCTCGTGAAAGTGGAGATAACCTATGTAGTTTAGCCTTTTTTCTCTTGAAATTGCTAAGGTTCAAACGGATTGTCAAGTGAATTAATAACCCCAAGTTTAACGCTTCAGAGAATAGTGAAGTCTTGTTATCAACCAGCTTTATTTTAAGACTAATTTTTTGAAACTATAGATAACTTCGCGAAGACACTTTAAAAATCGAAATAATTTTGCAAATTTGATAAGTAACATGAACTTCTACATTCTAGAATTGTTACACGAAGGTAACAGTTTTAAAGAAATTGCGTTATGTATTTTGTCTCTTTCGAATTTTGTAATATAAATACTTATAAAAAATGAAAATATATCATAACTTCTTATTAATTTAATTTATATAGAATGTACCAAAAGCTATTAGTTCGGAAGGATTATATAAGTATTTTAATATAACTACCTATTATTAATATGAAATTTGGTATAAAAAAAATAATCAACTGGTAAGTATATATATAATTTCTAATATAAATAATTAAAATAATTAATTAGAAGAATATATATATATATATATATATATAAAAATGCATTTCTTGTAAATGTATATATTTTTTAAAAAGGCAACTAAACTAAAGAATAGTTATTCATTAATTATAACTCAATCCAATAAAATTTAAGTATTTGAATATATACTTATAATTATAATTTAGAATTAACTGAATATCTTAAATAATATATATTTTTCTTTTGTTAAGTGTAAAAGTACTTTAACAAATTAAGTATTTCTGTTAAACTAATTTGAATTTACCAGTAATTATTAATATAATACTAGTCAGATTAAAGTATTTCTAAAAAAAAAAATGTATTAAAAAAATTAAAATGTTTTAAATATTTATAATTATTTTTTTTAAAAAAAATCAAGTTGTATAATAAAATGGTTTAATAAATATTATTATTTATAAAATTTAAAATATAATATATAATAAAAATTTTATTTAAAAAATAATTATATAAACTAAAAATACTTATTAATTATTATAAATTTTTATTAATTCAAAATAAAAAAAAGAATTTGTAAAATATCTTAATATCTATTTGTTTATACTGTAAAATAAACATAATTAATTTCTATAGTTTCATATTAGTTAAGTAATTAGAAATATTAGATAATTAACAATAATAAATAAATAATATAAATATATTTTATTATATATAACCATTATTAATTTGATAAAAAAATAAAAAAATCAACTAAAAATTAAACTTTTTAAATTTATATTCTTTTTTCTTTGGTTATTATATATATTAAATAAATTAAAAAATAAACTATACTACTTTAAATAACTTTAAGTACTCAAAAATTTTTAATTTTTAAGATTTATTTTAATTCTTATTAAAGTAAATTTCTAACTCTTGTAAATTATGATTATTTATGTAAATATATTAAAATTTAAAATTAAAATTAGATTTATCTTTTTAATTATATTTAAAGTATAATATTGACCTTTTCAATTATTGTGATAGTAGATCTTTATAGTAATCAAATTTAATAAAAACTGCTATAAAAAGTAAAATAATTTCTATTTTTAAATATAATATTTTATATAATTTTCTTAAACTATTAATTAAATTTGCTTTAATTTATAAATTTATTATTAATATTATATAAGATTATTTTGCTAATAATAGTTAAATTTCAAACCTTTTTATTATATCAAAATTAGTATTATAATTTTTATTTCTAATCTGTTTAATGAGTTAAGTATTTTTATATTATTTTATTTACATTATTTTATTTTATAAAAATAAAGATAAAACTTAAATACAGGTATTATTTAATTTTATTAAGATTTTTTTCAAATTATATGTTAAATATTTCTATTATTAAGATTATATTTACCTTTTTTATTCTTAGAAATAAGTCTTTGAAGTTTTACTATTCTTTAAAATTATTTGATTACTTTTAAATCATATCAAATCTATATGTTATTTTAAATTATTTATACAATATAATGCTATTGTTAGGAATAGTATTTATTAGTATATATAAAAAGATCAAGCATAGATAAAAGCTACCTGAAATCACTAAATAATATAATAAATTATTTATCAAAAAAATTATTTTTATTTTCTAAAATACTTATTTTAATCTCATATTAATTAAATTAATCATTTATTACTTAAATATACTTTTTGTATTGATGATAAAGTTGCTTATATTTTATAATTTTTTATAGTTATTTTTACCATTTTATTATCTAGATCATAATTTTTTTTATTTATTATTAGTATAAAAAAAGTTAAATGAATCATTATTTCTAATATTATAAAATTTTACTCAAATTATTTTGACAAAATATGATATTTCTTTATCTGTAATTCTATTATTATTATTTTTAATGCTTTTATATAAATATTCTATAGAATATTATTGCAATATATTTATATATACTTAAAATTTTTATTTAATATTTAGAACTAATAAAATTATTTTCATTTTTTTTTAGCATTATTCTATTATTATTTAAAACTTATTATACAAAATTATAAGCAAATATTAGAATAATATTATTAAGTATTATTAATTTAATTATATTTGATCTATGTCTTAAGATTTTAGATTAAATGAATACAATATTTTCACATTTATTCTATTTTGATAAATTACTTTTAGTTATATTAAAATTCCTTCTCCTTTTTATCTTCAATTTTTTATTAGCTTTTGTTATCATTAAATTTGTTTTTTTTATTTATAAGTTATTTAAGTTTATCAGTTAAATTATTATTAATTATATCAATATATTAACGTTAACTATAAAATATTAACTAAGTAATATTATTATTAATCAATTATTCAAAGTTTTAATACTTAACATAAATAATAACTTTTACTTAGTAAAACTTTTTTGACTAATCTTTATTACATAAAAATAATAGTTATGATTAAGGTTGTTAAATGAAATCTAGAGATTTTACAAATTGTCTAATGGTAAAAAGTAAAATTAAATTAAAAAATCTAAAAAAAAATAAAATTATATCAAAGCTTATAAAAATAATGAACTATATCAAAACTATAGTAAAATATTAAAGAAATTAAAGATTTAAATGCTTATTAAATTCAAATAAATTAAGATAAATAATCTTAATCATGACCATATATATACTTTGCTAAAATCTCTGATTTAGTAACTTTAATTCTACTAGTATATGACTATCATATGATTATATTATTATGTATTAGTAGTATTTTTTTGTTTTAAAATATATATTTACTTTATATTGATTATATATAAGCAATAAAAAATATTTGTTTAAAAGAAATAAAATGAACTAATTATCTAATTTATTTTAATCATTATATATAAAAGCAATATTATTTATGAAGCAATATTCAAATTTTTTTTCAAATTTTTTTTATAAGCATTTATTAATTTTTAGTTTTTAGTAATAATAAGTTAAATAAATAATATTTATTTATTAATTATAATGTAAAAATATAAGTTATTTTTTAAAAAAAAATATAAATTTAAAAAAAAAAAGATTGTTTTATCAAAATAGTATTTCTGAATACACTTAATAATTTTGAAAATAAACTTCAAATAAATTTTTGATATTTAAAAATTACCTAATACATTTAAAAAATTTGTTATTTTATTAAAATTCACCATATAAAATATAAAAATACTACTTAAAAGACTGGAAATTATAATATATTATTATTTAATTTCAAAATGCATTTTCAAATATAAAATTAATATTTAAAATTACCCAATATATTAAAAATAAAGTTTCATGATCAGTTTTTCAGTACACACATATTAAAATATAATTATTATATAATTTATTGATTATAATAATAAAAAATGTGAAATAAATTTGATCGCATATACTGAGAAAGGACAAAAATATTGCACAGTTTTATTTTAGCAATAAAATTTTTTTTTTATTAGGATAGCAGATCATTTTTTTTATATTCACAAATAACACATCAATATTTAGTATGTCTTCCTTTAGCATCAATTACCACCTGAATTCTATTTGGCATTGATCACATAAAGTTACAATATACTTTTTGTGATATTGCTTCCCAAACCTCTTTTACCACCTTTTTAAGTTCACGAATACTTGATGGCTAAGGGTTATGTTTTTGAATTTTCATCTTAACTATAGTCTACAAGTTCTTAATTAGATTGAGATCGGGACTTTGAGCAGGCTATGGAAGCACCTCTACATTTTGAGAATGCAGAAACTCTCATGCAACCTTTGATATATAAACTGATGCATTATTTTTCTGAAAAATGAATTTTTTTTTAATTTGTCAAAAAAATACTTTGAGTGTGGGAACCATATAAGTGAAAAGCACCTCTTTATATACATTTCCAGTTACTGAACCTTCAAGTGAAATAATGGAATCTAATTTTAAAAAGAAAAAACATGCCTAAAACATTCTTTGAAGAGAATGTTTTACTGTTAATGTAATACAATCTTCATTAAATTTTTCTTTTGATTTTCTTCACACTCTTTCCCATTCAATTTTTTAAAACTGTGAAAATGTAAACTCATCTGTTCAGACTATCTTTTTCCAGTCTTTTACAATCCAATTTCTTCTTTCTATTGCCTATGCAAGTCTTTTGTTTTTGTTGATTGCTGAGATGAGAGGTTCTTTTAAGAAATACAGAAATGCACATTTTCCTTATAAAGTGCATGACAAATTATTTTTATAAAAACTGGCTTATTAATTTTAGCAGAAAATATATTAGTAATTTCTACTAGATTTTTTCATCTTAATTCTTTATTTTTGAGAATCATTGCTTTCAATTTTTGCCTTTTTTTGGCTATTGATCAAGTAGGTCAACCTGATTATTTTTTAGAAGGTGCTTCTAATTTATAAGCTACAAGATATCTCATAATAGTTGTTCGATAACATTCTATAGCTTTTGCAATCTCTGTATTATTGTAGCCTAATTTTTTTGGTTGCAATAATGCCTCCCTTTTGTATAGGAGTTAATTCTTTAGTGAAACCTATCATATACGCAAAGTTGAAAATAGTAGAGATTTTTAAACCTGAGTTTTGCAATCTTTAACATATTAAATCAAAATAATAAACAAATATTCTATTTAGAAAATATATAGCAAATATTGTATAAAAATCACATGGCCAGTTACATATTAACAATTTATTAAATTGAATAAATTTTGACTATGCAATATTTTTGTCACCCCTCTGTATATTTATTTTACTTCAGACTTTCAATCTGATCTTTAGTATTTTTAAAATTAATGATTATTAAAAAATTAGTTAAATACAATTTTTGAAAATGTATTGTAAATAAAAAATGTATAATAAAAGAATATGTGTAAAATATGATTTTAAATATTATGCAAAATTTATAATAAATAAATAAATTTTAAAATACATATACAGTCCCTAGCAAAAAGAATGGTGATAGAAGACTGCATCTATTTTAGGCTGCAGTTTCACCACTTTCTAGATTTAGGCATTTGTTTATATATCTAAATTGGACATTGGAATCTGAATTAAAAAGATAAGTTAAAAAAATAAGGTTTATTATTTGTTTTTATTTTGATTTCCTTTCTGAAACTATGTCAAGCTCTTTAAAAATACAAAGAAATTCTGTTAAGTTACTTTGAGACCAAAAAGTGTGTAATGCAAAAGAAATTTCTAATCAATTGTGCATTCCTTTATACACATGTGAATGATATATCAGTTTATTAAATAAAACTGGCAAAATTTCTATTAGTCACTCTTCTGACTATCCAAGAAAATTGGCTTTAAATTAATGCTGCTATATTGGAAAAATTCTGCAACATAATCATTTTACTACAGTAGGCGAACTTAAGGCAAAATTGGAAGAAAAAAGATCATAACCTTAATGTCAGTGAATGTATAATACATCATGAGCTTAATAATCTTGGATATGTTTCTGTTCTTCCAAGAAAGGTTTCTCTCTTAACCCAAAAAGTAAAGGATTTTTATTTGTCTTGAGTACATGATCATTTGCAATACAACTGAAAAAAAGTTATTTTTTCTGATGAAATAACACTTCAGATGTTTAGAAATACCATATGTGCATGGTCTCATAATGCACAACTAATTGTCTATGGTAAAATACCTATTCAAGGTTCATGTTTGAGCAGCGATTAGTGCTAAAGGAAAATCAGCATTTATTTGTTTACTGAAAATTTGGATTGTCATTTGTATTAAAAAATTTTAGATAACCATTTGTATAATAATACAGATATGTTATACAGATGTGGCTAGGTTTTTTAACAAGATAATGATCCAAAACACATCTCACATAATATTCAGAAAAACTTGAAAAAATATCTTCTAGAACGAGTTCTTTCTTAGCCTTCATACAGCCCAGATTTGAACCCTATTGAAAATGTATAGGCTGTATTAAAGGAAAAGGTAAAGAAAAAGATCAAGTATTTAGTAGCAAAAAAAAATTACCTGTGATATATTTCTTAATATAATTCAGCAGAAATGAGACAATCTTAATGACACCATGTTACTTCAGTGTATTAAGAACATGTCAAGCCAGATTAAAGCATATATCAATGCAGAAGGAAGACATACCAAATATTAATTAATAATATAAAAGTTGTCGTTAGTATTACATCAGTAAATTAATCAAGCACACTTCAATGCATTGTTATAGAGCTGTAATTACATCGCAATGAATTTTGCGATGATCATTGCTATTTTGACGCATTGATCCATATTGTTAAAAGTACTATGCATTTATTTATCTTATATGATAATCAACGCATTTATTTATTATTTGATAATACATCGCGTTTATTTATCTTTATCTTTTTTATCCAAATAATTATATATAAAAAACATATTATTAAAACATAAATACATTCATGAAATATTCATTAGATTTGCTAAATCGTGAAATGATATGAACTGGTTCAACAATAGAATCAACCATTATAATAGTAAATATTTGAATAATTTTTATATACGGATAATCATATTTGAATAATTTATATGGATCATTATATTTGAAGTCATACCATTGAACCAATGCCAAATGTCATTCTTCATGACCAGAAATCTTTAGACTAAATAACATTAAAAGTTTTTTATTATAGTTTAAAAATATAAATCAATATTAATTATTATTGTATTCGATCAAATTAAATAAAAAATATTATATAAATTTACCTTAGCGAAACATGTACCATCAAATGTATTATAATTTTGAGCCTCCTCTTCATTCATATTAACTGCAATATTGCTAAAAGCAGGTGAACCATAATAGTTACTTTTAGCACGTATAATATCTGTTTCTCTAATTATTGCATTTGTATACCATTTAACAAGAGTTACCTTAACATCATCTTCGGTAATATCTTCAATGAAATTAAAATATTGGTTTAATGAATTAATCAACACATCAAATGCTGTTTTGGCTTCTAGCACTAAATGATGTGTAACTTTATATATATTAACAAATGTATCAAAAATAGTTAATGTTACTTTCGATACTACCCAACATTGAAGTTTGATGTCGATATTTTTAATAGATGATGATTGTGTTATTTTCTGAAGATAACTAAGAATACTATCACGTTATACCTAAATGAATATTTAAATAATTAAATAAATAAATGTTAATTTTCATAAATCATTATTGTAAAAAATATTATACCATGTTGATTATTTGTAAAGTAGCATTTCTACGATTACTCATTCAATATGATATCTTGACACAAAATTTGTGTAATGACTCATATGTTTCTATTGTAAATCCATTAATAGCACCATATTCTTATATGCTATTCACGATATGATGATACTAATTATGTAATTTTAGATATTTTATTCCAGTATTTACAATTGGTGTAAATAATATAATAAATTTTCTTATCCAATCCGTAATTATATCCTAAAGTAACAAAATTAAAAGTTAACATTTTATTTATATAATCAATCATCAATGAAAT